AGGCCAGGCAGTTCAGGACAACTGAGACCCCAAGCACTCGGGAGAAGAGACAGGGACAGTCGGTGGCCAGGGGGACCTGAGAGATGAGCTTGCCACACCTCTCACAGCACGATGGCCGGGGGCTCTGCAAGTCAGACATACTGGTCCGAGGTCACACAGACTGGCGACAGAAACCCTGATCCCAAACAACGTCCCTGCCCACGCTACGTTGTCTGCAGTCCTGGCACCCAGGCTACCAACCACGCTCTGGGCCCAGATCCATGGCTGCCAACTGAGCGCCCAGTGGGAACTCCTGGTACCTTCGGCCACCCACACCTGCTGGGTCGCGCCCCTGCAGCAAAGCCTGCAGCCCGGCCTAGTGTGTAACCCCGTCCGCCGTGGCCAAGCTCTCACTTAGCCGGGCCCGGGGTGGAAATTCAGGCCGTCCTCGTGGGGCCATACCCGTGCAGTAACCCACCAGCCAAGGGAGGACTGCGTGCCATCTGTCCCTGTCCACACAGGCCCTGGCGCTTGCTCCTATCTGCGAAGGTAGTAACACTGAGCCTTGGGTGTGAGGAACATGCCCCGAGGAGCTATCTACAGATGGGAAGCCGGTCCCGGAGCCGCAGTCACCGGCAGCATCGACCCGGGTGCTCGAGCAGCACGACCTGCCTGGCGACCTCGGCAGCCATGGCTTCTTACCTCTCCTGGAGGGGTGAGCCCGTCAGCTGGTGTCCACTCCGGGGCCATCTAGCCTTTTATTTTCTCTTAATGGCCAGAGGGCAGTATGTGCTCACCAGAGACAGAGACGAGAGGAATAAAGCACCCCCAACACCACAATCCCTTCTCCACTTCTCCACTCTGTCGGGTTTGGGCACACGTGCACATGCACCTGGTAGGTGTTCACACTGCCGAGGTGGGATGCCGAGGTGGGGTTAGAACTGCGGTAGGCCATGTGGAATCCAGCTTTCTTAACCCCTAGGCTATGGGGTTGGCCTTGGGTCACCTACCCTTATGACAATCTAATGAATACTGGTCTTATCCTAAGGCTAAAGAAACGTATTTTAAGAGTAGTTATTGGAGCCTATGAGGGCCCTGGAGTCACGGGTCCTGAGGACGGATCCAGAAGTCCTGAGGTGGTGCCGGCTCTGGGATCCCTCCTGGCATAAAAGTCTTAAGACAGGGCCTGTGGGGCCTGGCTGGTCCTGAGGGATTCCAGAAAAACAGGAGTGGGGGGTGTCATGAAGGAAGAAGCTACAGGGCCAGAGCGACTCTCTCTGTTTTGGCCTCAGGGCACATGTGCTCACCAGAGAGAGAGAGAGACGGGAGAGGGAAAATGAGGTACCGCCCCGTGGGGGGATGACCGCATTGCAATCCCTTCTCCTCTGGGGATGCGCCTAGCATGATTTTCAAGCCGCTAGTTCAGGACTTGAACCATGGGTGGCCATGTGAGAATCCAGTGCCCAAACCACCATGTCACCTGCTGGTCCCACTCCTTTTTTTAATTGCCAGAGGGCATGTGTGCTCAGAGGAGAGACAGAATGACAGAGAGCGAGAAAGCACCCTTGACAAGACAAGGCCATGCTGCAGTCCCTTCTCCATTTTTCCATCCTGTCCGACATGGTTTTCAAGCTAAAGGAGATTTGAACTGCTGGCGGCCAAGTAGGATCTACAACAGCTTCCTTAACTGCTAAGCTACAGGGCTGGTCTCTCTCCCTCTGAGACAGGGATGCACTATGTTGCCCGAGCTGACCTTCAACCTGTGACCCTCCTGCCTCAGTCTCTGCAGTAGCTGATTACAGGCGTGCACTACCACATGTGGCCTCAGAACAACTCCTGAGGGGCCAGCAGGCGGCATGGCGATTAAGGAGCTGGATTCCACATGGCCAACCGCAATTCAAATGCTGGACGTGGTAGGTTCCTTTCTTACTTTCTCTCTCTCCGATGAGCGCATGTGGCCATAGCAAAAACTTCAATTTTTTTCTTAAAAACTCCAACAACTCTTGAAGGCTAGGTGGGGGATGAAGACAAGAGGGAGACAAGGCCTTTTCCTTGCTGTGAAATCCTGGCCCTCCTCTCCCTCCCTCCTCGCTGTGCTCTCTGCTCTCCTGGCTCAGCTTACTTCCTCGTCTGCAGACAAGACAACGTGGTCGTGCAACCGGGAGCCAGGGACTCGCGCCCCTGTGACCAGGGCAAACAGAGAGCCTCAGTCTCCTCCTCTAAAACATGGAGATCTAGTACCCAAGTATTGTTTAAACGAGCTAAGGCCACCGTGGAAATCAAACACCTCCCAGAGGGACGGGCCAGCACAGTCGATGTGGGGCCACGGCTCTGCTCACTTCTGAACCGCACCGACCACCTGGAGCCAGCAGGAAGACAGTGGGGACCACCCAGTCTCCTCTGTAAGCACGCTTTCCGCAGCGCCAGCACTGCATGGTCACTGTGTGGTCAGAGAGCCACCTGCACGTTTGTTCTGATGGGACTGGAAACCAGCTCCAAGGCCTGAACACACAGACACGACTGCTCTTAGGAATTAAGTGGAAAGAGCTGGTCAGGTTGACGTTGCCATAGAGACCGGGCAGCCTGGGAGTAGCTACTGTGGGGGTGGCAACCTTCGTCCCGGGTGTCCCTGCACACCGACTCCTGCAAGCTTGGCTCAGGTAAACCCACCCCCGACATCACAGCCCCGCTCCTCACCCACGTGCTCTGGCTGTGAGAGGTGCCACATCAGCAAGACCCTGCCCCCCACCCACCCCCGCCAGGTTTAAGACAAGGAGCGTCGGCGGCCGGCCGGGGGCCAGGGCGAGGAAGCGCAACGGGAAGGGGCGCCCTGCCCGGCCGTGCAGTGGTGGCACAGCAGTCACCTCAACAGTGGGAGCCGGTCGGAAGCTGCTGCAGAAAGGGCAGATGACTCCCTGTGGCCAGCACCTCCCTCCTGCCCCTCTCCTGAAACAAGATGCCATGTCAGCAATTCCCACAGAAACAATGGGACGCCGCTGGGCGCCGGGATTCGACAGGCCTCTAGATGGCGCCAGACAAGACGGATGTGGCCAGGAGCTCCAGTTCCCAGCAAGCGGGAACAGTCCGCACCGTCCTCTCCTCCGCGGTGTGCTCAGAGACAGGCTCCCATAGGAAGCAGTCTGGCCGCAGGCTGCAGGGAGACGCTATCCTCGGATGGCCGACGGTCCCGCTACCTCATCTCCTGGAGAAGCCCGATTCCTGGCTTCTGAAGGCAGAGGGGAACAGAGGCTAGGCATTCTCAGAGTCCCAGAAATGCCATGAGCTCGCGCCCGGCCCCGGGGCCCTCAGACATGGCTAGGAACCCAGAGAAACTCCAGCCAGCCAAGACTATGTGCACAGAAAGCTGCGTTGGTGGACCCGGGCAGAGACGTCCGCACTCGGGCTCTGACCGTGGACCCCCACAGGGCAGGGATGAGCTTCCGCGACACGGTTTTTCTTAGAAACCACTCAGTCCGTGACCCAGGACTTGAAGCCTCAGAGATCTGTGGCCTTTCTAAACTTTGTGCCCCACTAAGGGCTTGTTTAAAACTCTCATTGGAGCTGGGCCCCCAAGGATGCACATCTGCCCCTGGTGTGTGGAGCACTGGGGGGCTGGGTCTCAGGGGGCTGGGTACTTGGGGACTGGGTCTCTGGGGGTGGGGTCTCTGGGGGCGGGGTCTCTGAGGACTGGGTCTCTGGGGCTGGGTCTCTGGGGGCTGGGTCTCTGAGGACTAGGTCTCTGGGGGCTGGGTCTCGGAGGGGCTGGCAGAGACACTTGCTGCTACAGCTGCACAGCAGGGCTGCTCGGGGGCCTGGCCCACCAGAAGCATAGACGGGAGGGCTGCTTTTGGTAAGAAAGGTGTGTTGCCCCCAGTCAGGCCCTCCCGTGGTCTTACATCAAGCCTGGGGAGACTGGCTGGTGAGAATGTGTGCCCCAGGGCTTCGGATGTGGGCAGGCTGGATGGCACCGCAAGTGCTCATCGGCTGCAGAGCCAGGTGCTCACCTGGTCAGGGCCCCTGGACTTGTCCCTGGCCTGCTAGAGGCTGCTCCTAGGGCCGAATAGCCCAGCCCATACGGTAACTTTCTTCTTCTTCTTCTTTTTTTAAATTTATTTAACTTTATTTGTTTAATTTTGATTAGAGAGGGACAGAGTGAGAGAAAGGGTAAGGGAGAACTCAATCTGGCAGGCCCAGGACTCAAACCATGGTCAGCCATGAGGGAGTCCAGCGCCCTTAACCACCACGCCACCCACTGGCCCCCATGGTAACTTTCTTATATGGGGGCTGGGAGAAGAGTGGTGAGAATGGATGGAAGGAAGAAAACCTACTGATAACCAGGTCTTTAAAAAAAATTTTTTTTTGAGAGATTTTTGTTATAGTGTGTGCACACTCGCCAGAAAGACAGAGTCAGAGAGACAGAAAACGAGAAATCGCCCCCCGGGACAACGGCCATGCTGCAATCCCTTCTCCATTCATCCTCTCGGGATCTTGGGCACGCACATACACGCACCCAGCGTGAGTTTAAGCCACCGGGTCCAGGACACGAACTGCGGTCGACTACATGGGAGTCCAAGCGACATAGCCATTACGCTAACTGCTGGTCCCCTCGCATGCATTTTTTAAAGAATTGTTTAAAGAACCAGGTCTTCGATAGCCTCACTTCCAGGCCTTTCCTCACCTCAGTCCATTAACAGGTGACAGACCAGCTGCAACCACCTGAAACTAAGGGGCAGGGCAGGTGAAGGCAGTCACAGCAAAGAGGCAGGAACCCGACTGGGTCTGACACCCACACAGTGCCCTTGTCTAGCAGTTTGGGGGAAGCTGCGACCGACGTCCCCATTCAACCACAGATAGCACCTAAGGTCTATAAAGCATGGCCTGACTTCCAAGTCCCTTGGGTGCCACGCCCTGCCCTTCTGTCCTTGAAGCCTTAGCTCAGACAGCCAGTGTGCGCCCGAGGGCGGGACCGGTCCTCACCATGCTGCCCACCCACCACACCGGGGCCCCCCACGTGCACTCACTGTGTGCCTCCACCAGATCGATCTGCATGTTATACGGGACCAGGGGATCTGGCAGCTCCGAGAAAAAGCTCTTCATGGCACCAGCCACAGTGTTCACGGTGAAGTCTTTCTCTGCCAAGTCCAGATTGTGGTCTGAAAGGGAGTGGGCAGGGTGAGACTGGACTGATCTAAACCAGGCAGGAGCTGCAGGAAAAGGCACAGCTCAGGAGAGGCCAGAGAAACCTCCCACCCAGGACTGGCCTGAGCCAGGGCAAGGACCGAGGATTAGTGCAGACCAGAGAGGAGGTGGCATTCCTGGGTCCTGCCAAAAACAAGTCCCAAGCCTCCTGGCCCAGGGCCAACGCCCGGCACCTCTCTCTGAGGTCTCAGGACCACCCTCCACCGCCTAGGGGAGGCAGCCACAGCCCCTCCGTGTCTGCCTCCCACGAGCCGCTGCTACTCCTTTTCTCCCTCCGGTCTCTCCCGCCTGTGGCACCTCTGGCCGCTCCGCTTTTCCCTTCTCTTTACGTCCCGTACCACACGCCTGCTGACGGACCCTGCCGGGCTCCACTCTGGAGTGCGACCCCACATGACAGACTGGTGCGCACGGACAAGAGCATCCCACGGGGGCCCTGCCCAGGCGTTTGCCTCCCTCGCTCGCCCGTGGTCGCCTCTGTCCGCTGCAGCCAGCCGGCCTGACGGAAAGGCAGCACAAAGTCCTGGGCTGCGGGGGTGGTCTGCTCCAGCTTGTGCTGCACCGGGCCTTCAGCTCGCCCTCCACCTGCCCCCCTTCCCTGGCCACTGCAGGCCGAGACGTTCACCGCGCGGCCTTTCAGCGTCTGGCACTGCTGGATGCGGCCTCCCACGCCGCAGCCCAGTCATTTCCCAGAGTCCGAGTTGGCGTCCTGGCACGAGGCCTCTCGGGCTGACCCAGCTTAGGAGCACGTGCAGCTCTCCAGGGTCCAGCTTGGGGGCCTGGGTCTTAGGGCTCATGCATCACCCCTGTGCGGCCGTCATCAACCTGGCCGACAGCGGGTGCCTGCAACTATAACCGCCCCTGCGTGCCTAGGCTGCAAGGCCCCGCCATGGGGGTGCGCCCGCAGCACCCAGCTTACTCAGCCCTGGCAGGCACGGGGCCTCGCTTTGCCCACAGGGCCTGGTCGCCCCTCCTCCATGGCAATGTGACCACAGAGGCAAGGTGAACGGGCCACGTGGCTCTTGGTGACACCAGCACCCCAGAGGCCCCCTTGGCGTAAGCTCCGGGCCTCACCTTGGTCGAACTGCCTCTGCAGACTCTCCATCTCCGACTTGTTCCCGCTGACCCGGTAGATGCCTTCGGTGCTCAGGCCTGAGGAGAGACAGGAAGGCGCTTAAAAGCGGCACCTCGGGGGAGGAGCGGCCTTGACGGGGAGGGAGGCGAGTGGGGCGGGCTTTCCTGGATGCTTCAACCCACTTGCCCCGTATTCACACAAATTCCGAAATACTTGTTTTTTAGGGTCAGTCAAGTGGCATGGTGGATAAGGAGTCTAGATCCTACATGGCCGACTGCGTTCAAGTCCCGGGCCCAGTGGCTTCAAAAATAAGCCAGATGTGTGTGCACGAGTGCTCAGAATCCTCAGAGAACGGGGGTGAAGGGGCTGTGGCATGACCATGCCGCGGAGGCCATTTCCTTCCTGTCTCTCTGGTGAGCACATGCACCCTGTAGCAAACAAACAAAACACTTTTTTCCTGGTAAAAATTATACTACTACAGAAGTACAGCAGCTGAGGGTAATTCTCCCCCACTTTTTCTTGAATACTCTCCAATTTTTTATTTTAGTTTTTTCCTTTTGGGGGGCTAGAGGGCACGTGAGTTTCCCGGGGGTGGGGGGCGAGAAAGCACCTCCAGTGGGGCACGGTCATGCCACGATCTCTTCTCCATTTCTCCGCCCTGTCAGGTGCTGGGACATGCAAGCACACATGTCCACTGTGGTTTTCAAGCCACTGGGTCTGGGATTTGAACCACAGAGCCAGCCATGCGTAGGATCTGGCTCCCTTAACCACTAGGCCATGAGATGGGCCCTATTTTAGCTTTTTAAAATGGAAATAAATACCTTTATTTAATTATTTTTTGTTTTGCTATAAGGCACGTGCACTCATCAGAGAGAGAGAGAGAGAGAGAGAGAGAGAGAGAGAAAATGGGGGATGGCCACACCACAATCCCTTCTTTTCCATTTTCCTCTTGGATTGTGGGCACACATGCTTATGTGCCTGGTGTGTTTTTCAAGTCGCTGGGTCTGGGACTCAAACCATGCAGCTGACCATGTGGGATCCAGTGCTTTAACCTTCATACTACTATATTTTAACCTGCCATTTTCACCTATAAAGTATGTTGTAAACTTATTCTAGTGATTGAACACTCTTATCCTTTTACAATGGGGTTTAAAGACAACAAAACATAGAACTTCAACAACAGTCCTTTCATTGACTGCTTAGACTTTTCCAAGTTTTCACTGTTTAATGAGCTCTACAGAGTCTTGGAAATAAGCATTTCTTACTTTGTGAGTGCCTTGTTCTTGTTCTGTTTCAGTCCTTCACATTTCATGCCTGACAGGTCTTTGAACATCAAACAACTATGCTTTTTTAAGAATTATTTTATTTAACTTTATTTATTTTAATTTGACCAGAGGGACAGAATGAAAGAGAGAGAGAAAGTGAGAAAGCAAGCCTCCAGGTCCAGGCCGCGAACCGCTGTTGGCCGTGTGGGAGTGTGCAGCACCTTGACCACCACACTGCCTGCCGGCCCCAACAACTGTTAGTGCTACAGCCACATTCACATTTCCCCGTTTGATCCGCCTTCGGATTTTAGTGAGTGTCTGAAGTACATAAAACGTGAAGTTCTCAAGACCAATCATCTTTTCATGGTCTTCCTGTTTCTATGCTTAGACCATCCTTCCTGCTCTCCATCAGGTAGTCCCTGTTATTTTCCCTCTTCTTCCTTCATCATTTTAAAAAACACTGAACTCTGGGCCCAGCAGGTGGTGAAAAGGCAACATCACCGGACTCTCACAGAGCTGACTGTGATTCAAGTCTCAGATCTGGTGGCTTAAAACTCATGCCGGGGGAAAAACAAAACAAAACAAAACAAAACTCATTCCGGGTGTGTGTATGTGCATGCCCAAAATCCCACGAGGAGAATAGAGGACAGGGGATGCAGTGTGGCCATCCCCTCGGGGGGTGATTTCTCGCCTTCTGTCTCTCTGTCAAGCACACCTGCTCTATAGTAAAAATCTCTCTCTCAAATAACAAACACTGAACTCCAATCATCCTGGCACGTACCTGGTATACACTAGTGTGACGTACGGAAATCAATGACATAAATACCCAAGGAGGATACGGAGCACCAAGCTCTGCGACTCCCTGTGCCCCCATCTCTCAGCACTGGGATGGGCTGCTCTGCAGGGAGTGGGTTCCAAGCATTGTCCCGGAGTCCGTCCTCCTGCCCCGCAAGATGGAAACTCACTGTGCGTCACCAAGATCCCGGGTTCACAGGATGTGCTGACTGTGCTAACTGCAATAGGATCTCAGGGCCAAATCAAAGCAGCCTGGGGTCCCTGGACTCTTGAAGACCGTGGTCTTGGTCAGCTCTGGCTCTCTGCAGGGGCATGGTGGCAGTGCCTGGGACAACCACTAAGCTCCAGAGTGGTGTGGGCAGTGGAGAGAGGATGCAGCCCTGAAGTCGGTAGGCTCCCGAGAGCCAGGCGTCGCCGACATGACAGAAGCAGTGGGACTGCCGGTTGTCTGGGGCCCAGACTGGTGGTGAGTGAATTCCAAAGAACATCAGAGCAAAAGTCATCAATGCCCTGGCTTAAAAGCCGTTAACTGCAGGGGCTGGCAGGTGGTATGGGTTAAAGGTGCTGGACTCCCACATGGCTGACCGTGGTTTGGGTCCTGGACCTGGCAGCTTGCTTTCTCACTTTCTCCCTCTGTCTCTGGTGAGCGTGGATGCCTTATAGAAAGTTAAATAATAGGGGCCAGCAGGTGGTGTGGTGGTTAAGGGCGCTGAACTCCCACATGGCTGACCACGGTTCAAACCCTGGACCTGGTAGCTTGCTTTTTCACTTTCTCTCTCTGGTCAAATTAAAATAAGTAAAGTTAAATAATTCTTTTTTTTTTTTTTAGAAGAAAGTTCAATAATAATAATAATAATAATAATAATAAATATAACTAAATATTAAAAAAAGAAAAGCTGTTAACTGCACAGGTCTATTACCCCTGAAAAAGGGGGGTGGTTAATGGACCAGCCCCAGGACACCCGACTGGGCAGTGCTCAGTCACCAAGGAGCTGCCGTGGCTGGCTGGTCTCAGTAGGGCTGAGGCCTCCCCAGCCCGCGTGGCTGTGTGTTGCGCACTGCGCTGGGCGCATTCCTGTACTCTCTGTCACCACGGGCTGGGGTGTGCCTGAGGCCACTGCATCTCCCATACCTCTGGGTCTGCTCCTGGGTGGGCCAGGCCGCTCCTCGGCCTGCTCACTGCTCCAGCAGACCCTGGCTCAGGCTCACACTGCCTCACCTTCACCCAGCAGAGGCTGGGGTCCAGACCGCAGCCTCCCCACCTGCCCCAGGAGAAATCCCACACGAGTCCACTGGCCCTCTGATTTTTGATCTGCACCTGTGGTCAAGATCCAGTCCACCACCCCCAGTCAGTCACCTTACCGTGGACCCTCTTCTCAGTGACTTCTCTAAACTGTTCTCAGACACGTTCAAGCTTTCTACTTGACATGACGTCTCAGGTGACCCACCACATGCGCACACATGCCACGGCTCACTTCTTGGTAAGTCCTGGTGTGTCAGCAGGCTCGAGCCTGCATGTAAACAACCCCTGGTTTCTAAGTTCTCCTCTCTTGTCCCGAGTGTCATGCCTCCCTGGTAGAAAACGACAATGCAAGTGACAGAAGCTAAGAGGTCCCCGCTGAGGTGGCAGTGCCCCAGTGCTATGGTTCATCTGCAGAGACACTGAGCCCAGCCCGCCCCTCAGGGCGCCTCCCCCCAGCCACCCGCCCAGCACCACGAGTGGGCAGAGAGCAGCTGCAGACGGCGCTGACTGCCGTGGCGTGGGGCTGCTGGACCTCACCGGTGAGTCTGCGAAATGGAAGTAACAGGGAGCAGGAGGCCAGCTCCAGAGCATCAGTGAGTCATCAACTTAGTATTTCCTGTACTCTGGGCGCATGTTTCTTTTACAAAATCCCATTTTAAAATAGCAATTCTGTTGCTGTCCTACACTGTGCTGTGGCACAGCTTAGACTTCTCAGACACCAAGAAACAACACTAAAGCACAGGGCGACGCAGGCGAGCATGAGGACTCTGGGCTGAGCTCAAAGGGCCCTGGACGCAGCAGGGAAAGCTCTGGGTCCGAGGGCAGGCCCCCAGGCAGAGGGCTGGGCTCCAGAGGCACCCACAGACCCACATGGACTCGACTAGACTTGGGCTCGGGCCCGCAGAGGAAGGCAGGTTTCTCCCCCACAGCCGTCTCCATCCACCATCTCTTCAGGCCCCGAGCCCGACTGAGAACGCTGCCCCCTTAGATGTAGGCACCTAACCAGAGTGGCCGAGGGCTCGCTTCGGCAGAGCACAGGCTGGGCTTTCCGTCTCTCTCTGGCTTCAAGAACCTTCTGTGTTTGGGATCGGAACAGGAAAGAGCTCAGTGTGGCCCGGCCCTTCTCTTCCCCTGGCCGGCGGGGTGCTGTGCAGAACAGCCCGGTTCTGACTGGGGCGCAGCCACTGCTGAGATCGGCGAGTCCAGCCTGGCACCTGCTGACCTTGGTTTGAGCCTTAGACCTGGCAGCCTGGAAATCATGCTGGGCCGTGTGAATGTGAGCGTGTGACCAAAATCTTGAGAGGAGAATGGAGAGGGACGGCATGGCCACCCTTCCGGGGGTGACCTCTCACTTTCCCTCTCTCTGGTGAATACATGTATCCTATGAGAAACACCTTTTAAAAAAGAAACATTAAGGGCCAGCAGATGACATGGTGTTAGAGACGCCAGACTCCCACATTGCCAACTGCAGTTTGAGTCCTGGACCTGGCGGCTTGTTTTCTCACTTTCCCTTTCTCTCTCTTTCTTCTCTCTTTCTCTGTCCCTCTGGTCAAATGAAAATAAATAAATACAGTTAAATAAAATAATTCTTTAAAAATATTTAGGGGACCAGCAGGTGGTGTGGTGGTTGAAGTGCTGGACATTCCCATATGGTTGACCACGGTTTGAGTCCTGGACCTGGTGGCTTGCTTTTTTCATTTTCCCACTTTCTCTCTTTCTCTCTGTGTGTCTCTCTGGTCAAATTTAAATAAACTAAATTAAATGAAATAATTTT